CTGATGCTGCCGTTCCCAGAGCTGGACCCAGAACTGCAGGGGGGGTCTCAGAGCAGAGGGGTGGGATCCCCTCCCTCGCCCTGCTGGCTGCGCTGCTTTGGGTGCAGCCCAGGGTGCGACTGGCCTTCTGGGCTGTGAGTGCGCGCGGCCGGCTCACGTTCAGTTTTTCATTCCCCAAGCCCCTCTCAGAGCCCCTCTCACTCCCTTTGGGGTTGGGATCGCCCCGACCCAGGGGCAGGATCTTGCACTTGGCCTCGTTGACCTTCAGGAGGTTTGCCCGGGCCCCCCTCTCCAGCCTGTCCAGGTCCCCCAGGGTGTCATCCCCTCCCTGCAGCGTGTCGGCTGCAGCCCACAGCTCGGTGTTGGCACCAAATCTGGGTGGTTGGGGATGATTTTTTTTTTAAGGATATCTTTGCCCACAGTGTGGCTGTTTCTCTTTTTTTATACCCAAATATCTCGTGCCTTCTAAGGATTCTTCCTCTGAGATTTCGTTGCACAAGGCAGGATGTTGAAGGCAGTAGTGACCGTGCCTGCAAGTCAGCCAAGGAGAGAAGAGTGAGGAAAGAATTAGATGCCATAAAATCCAGCTCTTAATTGCTCGCTGCGTTGTCGTTACAGTGAGGCTTCCTTCCCCCAAAATCTTGTATTTACTAAAGGAACCATTACAAAGCAGTTCGGTTCTGTGTCTTTCAGGCTCTCAGATTCTTTTTCAAGGGAATATAAAGTGACATATGGTAAATATCAAGTTTAAAGTTTATACTCAAAGTATAAAGTAAATAAAACCTGCTTTATTTTTAGAAATAAGTTGCTGCTGGTCACCTTCTGTGGTGCTGACTGAAGGTGGTACCGGAGGAACGGACCGGACTAATCAACTTGCGTTCTCTCTAGGCCAGCCTGCCCTCCATTCAGGGGGAGCTGAAGCAATTGGCAGAAGAGGCCAGGGAGATGCCAGGGTCACCGGCTGCAGAGTCTGTCTTCCTGGGAACGGGAAAGGAAACTGCAGACGCAGAATGTGCTGAGAAATACCCTCTCCTCATGCCAGAGGGACTAGTCCTGACCTTAAAGCCGCTTGCCAATCGATTCTCTAGGAGAGCGTGGAGGAGGCAGAGGTCTTCGGCTCTGAAGCCCGTCCTCATTCGGCCGAGTCCTTGTCTGCAGCCCAGTTCCAACCCTGTTAACATCCAGAAAACCGTGAAGCTGTCCCAGTCAGAAGCTCCTCCCAGCAAAGTTATGGTGCAGATTCCTCGGCTCATCCAGCCGGCAACGGTTGTGCAGGCTGTGCCGGGCATGCAGCCGTTAAATGTTCCGGCGGTGGTGGGAAGCGGCGATGGCTTGGAATTCCAGAACGTGCTCTCCACTTTGCAGTCGGACTCCAGACAAGCTTTCCCGGCTGCTGCACCACCAGCTCTGGTGTCCTCAAATCCCGTAACTTTCCAGCCAAAACTGATGTTGCCAGCTTTGGCTGGAGCGAAAATACGGAAACCTGGCGTTCGTAAGGGGTACCAAAAGAAAAAAGGAACAAAGTCTGCCCCGTTGCTCAAGACTTCACCTTTGATTCAGCCGTCTCCTGTCATCCTTACCGTCCCTGCCACCACGGTGAAAGTGGTCAATATAGGCAACGGCTGCAACATGATCCAGCCCATAAACGCCCCCGTTGGGAGGGGTGCTCAGGCTATCCCCGTCACCACCTTGTTGGTGAATCCAGCCACTTTCCCGTGTCCATTGAATCAGCCTTTAGTGACTTCTTCCATCCCTTCGCTGATCGTCTCTCCTAACTCCGTCGGTATTTCCGCATCCTCTGCCGGGGAAAACGAAGAGCAGCTGAATCTGGTTCCTTCCTGCCCTGCTGGAAACGCCAAAACTGGCTATCCTGTGGCGGAGCCCAAGGCGGAACCCCCGGAGTTGTACGTTTCGTGCTCCTCTGCCACCCCCAAGAAGGAAAGCGGTGTGAATCCCGCCGCCTCGAGCAGTGGTGGTCAGGAGAAGGTAAATAAAAGCGACTGCTGTGGCTGGACGGTGGTCGAAGGAGACGAGAACGCTTCAGAGGCGTTGCCTGTGAACCTCCTGCCTCATTTAGAAGATCCTGATGAAACGGTGAAAATGGAACATGAGGATTCAAGCGACGCCACCAAAGGAGCGAATCCGGTGGAGGAGAGGGACCTTCTGTGTGCCCAAGTGAAGGAGGAAAGGTCTTGGCCAGGAGCTGAGCATGGAGGCTGCTTGTTCGTGTGCTGCTGACCCGAAAGAAGTTAAAAAGGAGCATCCTCCATGTGATGGGAAGGGAGAAGAGGAACGACGGGCTTTGCAGGCATCTCCCCGGCGCGAGCGACAGGTGGACGCGGGTGTCGTCGCTGGCCCACAAGCGAGCGGTGAGTCTCCAAAGAACCTTCCTTACGCGGCAGACGTCGAGGCAGAATTCAGCAGTCCGCTGGGCAGACCAGAGGATTCGTCCAGTCTAGATGGCCAGTCTGTTGGGACACCGGCTGGCCCCGAGGCTGGAGGAGAGAGAGAAGCACAAGAAGAAGAGGAGGAAGACGATTTTGATGATTTTACGCAAGATGAGGATGAAGAAATGTCGTCTGCCTCAGAAGAATCTATTCTTTCGGTGCCAGAACTTCAGGTAAAAGCAAACAAAACTTTAAAAAACCCTCACGAATGACAAATATCGGTGTCCTGAAACATCCTGGTGGGGTCAGGGCAAATCACAACTTGAATCCAGTTGGAAAGCTGGGCTGTTGGCTGCCTCGTAGCGTGGTGTCGTGCTACTCTGCAGCACTTTTCTCTCGGAAGATCCTTAGGTCCAGGCTAAAGGAAAGTCTTGCAAATGTGCGGATTTAAATTCTGCTGAGCTGTAAAGGCTTACCCAGCTGAGGCAGTTGTTTAGTAAGAAGTACTTGAAGTGAAAATTATTTTCCAGGTCACAATTCCAGTAAGCCTTTAAGAGCTGTGATGATAATTAAGGAATCCTCTGTAACTCAAGGCTTTTTGCAAGATTATAAAACTTAATTTTGTGCATGATACACAAATAGTCGGTTCTGGGTTTTGAATTCCATCCCTTCCTCTAGTTGGTCAGATGATCTGTAAAATCAGCTGGCTGAGTTTTGGTGGAGCGAGCCGGTTGCTGATTGACGTTAAAGGAAATGCCGTAAGAAAACAACGTGACCTTTTGTTATTGTTGCTTCCTAAGGAGACGATGGAAAAACTTACCTGGCTTGCAACAGAGAGACGTTTAAGCCAAGAAGGAGATTCCGAAGAAGAGAATTCCCAGGAAGAGAACTCGGAGCCTGAAGAGGAGGAGGAGGAGGAAGGGGAAGGAATAGAGAGTTCACAGAAAGATGACGAAACATGCGGGGACACATCAGAGGAACCTAAATCTGCCTTCCCCTTGACAAAGACGGCCCCGCAGGTGGAAGCGCACAGGACGCCGGCAGGTGAGTCCTGGGGGTTTCTTTCGACACAGGGCACGGGGAAATAGAATTTGCACTGAAAGCAGAACAGCGGGGAAACCGCGCCTGGGCTTAGTGTCACTTTGCCTGTCTGAGCTTTCTCCCTGTCTGGAAATTCAGTTTCGCACCACAATTGCAACTCTCGAAAAACTGTCCTTGCTGCAGAAGCCCGTGTGCGTGTGAACTGAGTGTCTTTAGTCCTGCATTTGTGCTTCCAAAATTTGCAGGCGTAAGACTTGTGGTTTGTGTCAGCTCGTAGCTAGTGCCTGTACGAGAACGCTATTAAATAGTCAGTTCTTTGGCAAATGGAGTTTTGTGTTAGAAGGTTATGTCAGGGGGAAAATAAATGAAACAAAAGACTCACTCGAGGGCAGGGCTGGCATCCAGAGGGAGCTGG